TCTGGAAGGCTCTGATCAGTGGGAACATCTGCTGGGGGTGTCTGCATTCCAGATGGGAGAAAACAACTTGGAATTCCATCCAGGAAATCCAGGAAATCCAGGAGATGTGTCCTGGTGGGAGCAGGGAGCAAGGAGCTGAAAAACCAGAAAGAAAATCCAAAGAAACTCCAAAAATTCCACAAAAACCATCCCAAAAAAATCCAAGGAACCCACAAAACTCCACCAGAAAACTCCCCAAAAAAATCCCAAAAAGAAAAAGGGATTCCTTCAGGAAAACCATCCTGGGAAAGGCTGAGCCCTATGGAATAAACTCAAATATTGGGATTTATTATTAATGCAATTTTCAATTATTTGGGGTCCCAAAGTGAGATTTTTTTGAAGGGAATTTTGGAATTTTTTTATCCAGACAGCGAGGCCTGGAAAACCAGGAAGCTGGACTTGGATTTTCCAATTGAAATCCATCCTAATCTCAGGAAAAACTCTCCAAAAAAAACCATTTCCATGTGTGGCACCTCCCCACCACAGGTTCCAGGGCCCATTTTCCATCTGTTCCCAGCTAAAAAAAGATGGGAAAAAAAAAGGTAAAAATCTGCCCCTCATTCCCAAGGAATTATCCCAAGGAAAATCCCAATTTCTTGAGATTTCAACCCCCACAGCTGCAACCCCCCAAAAGGTTTTTCCTAAAATTTTTTTTTTAAGGTTGGAATAAATTTTTCCCCCTTTTTTTTTTCCTTCTCCTTGCATCCCAAAACCTGCCCAGGCCTCCTGGTATTTATTTGGGAAAAATGGAAAACTCCTGGTTCTCCCTCACAGGAGGCCCAAACCTTTCCTCTCCATCCTAATTAAGGTTCCTTCCATGGCTAATTAAATCCTCCAGGGAATTAATCCAAATTTCCTGCAATGAAAATCAGCTGGATCCACTCCCCATGTTCTGCTCTCCCAGGCTGGAATCTCCTTTTTTTTTTTTTTTCCAACAGGGAATTGCACCAAGGAATTCTGTCACTTTTCCTCCTTTTCTCTGCCTTTTTTTGGAGTTTTAGGGAATTTTATTTCCAAGCTGAGCAGTCCAAATTTAACTTTATTGTTCTTTTTTTTTTTTGGGGGGGGGATTCCAGGATGTGAGTCCATCCCAGCCTCATCCCAGCATGGAATGAGGGAAAGATTTGCAGCAAATAAATCCCAAAATCCACTTTAGGACAATGCCAGGCCCTGGAAAATCCTGGATTTGGAGCAGGATTCCCATCCAGGCCTTTCCCAGTCCTGGATAAATCCCTCCAAGAATTTTCCAAGGGTTTGGAACACAATTTTCTGAGGATTCAGCTGCTTCCCTGAGGAAGGGAAAAATCCCTTTTGTGGGGCTGGATCAGCAAATCCTGGAATTCCATCCCAGCTGAATCCTCCTGGAATTCCAGGCTGTGATTCCACAGAATCCCAGCACAATTCCAACCTCATCCTTTTCTTTCCCAACAAAGAATGAAGGAATGAGTGGAAAAGATTTGCAGCAGATAAATCCCAAAATTCACTTTAGGACAAATGCCAGGCCCTGGAAAATCCCAAATCAGGGATTTTCCAGGATGTGATTCCAGCCTGATCCCAGCAAGGAATGAAGGAAAAGTTTGCAACAGGTAAATCCCAAAATTCCCCTTCAATCCCTGGAGAATCCCAAGGCAGGGATTTGCAACCCTGAACAGGAACCTCCAGACAAAAATAAACACCAGGCAGGGAATATTTATTTTAGTCACATTCCAGACTCTCGGATTTCTGGCAGTTTCCAGCTCTCCTGGAATTCCCAGCCCCTGCTTGACAGATCTCTCCATCTCCTTCCCCAAGGGGAATTTTTTTTTCCACTTGGGATTTGCCCACACAGATGAATTTTTGGGAATTTGCTGCTGGATTTGGTGTGGATTCGCTCTTGCAGGACAGGGGAGATTTTGGGAGCAGATTTTTGGGAGCACATCCCAGCCTTTCCCAGGTTTTGGACAGGTGCTGGAATCATTAAAATCTAAGGGAAAAAAAAAATCATCCCCTAAAAGGCAGTTTTTAATTAAAAATTAATTTTTGAGGTGCTGGGGAAATATTTGGGAAAGGAAAGGAAAAAGGAAAGGAAAACGAGAAACAAAAGGAGAAAGGAAAGGGAAAAAGAAAAGGGGAAAGGAAAAAGGGAAAGAAAAGAAAAAGGAAAAAGGGAAAGGAAAAAGGGAAAGGAAATCCCCACAATTTTACCCCCAACTCCCCCCACGGCACCAAAAGCTCTCCCAGATCCCCTCTGAACAATTCCTGAATTTACTGAGCAATTCCTGAATTTCCTGAGGAATTCCTGAATTTCCTGAGCAATTCCTGAATTTCCTGACGAATTCCTGGATTTCCTGAGCAATTCCTGAATTTCCTGAGCAATTCCTGAATTTACTGAGTTTCCTGAGGAATTCCTGAATTCCTAAATTTCCTGAGCAATTCCTGAATTTCCTGAGGAGTTCCTGAATTTCCTGAGCAATTTCTAAATTTTGTCCCAAAATTGTGTGGATTTTTTTTCCCAAAATTGTGTGGAATTGTGTCCCAAAATTCTGTGGATTTTTGTCCCCAAAATTGTGTGGATTTGTGTGGAATCGTGTCCCAATCCTTGGGGAAAATCTCCCAAAATATCCCAGGTGACAAAGGCAGCCCCTCCCCCATCCTTCCCTCCGGCCCCTCGCACTTTTTCATTTTTCATTTTTCACTTTTCATTTTTTTTCACTTTTCCTTTCCCAGTTTGTTTTTTTTTTTTCCTTCCAAGGTTGTTTTTTTTTGTTTTTCAGGGATTGTTA